CCTCCCAGAGTGCTGGGATTGTAGGTGTGAGCCTCCACACCAGCGTCTATCGTACTTTTATAGTACTGAGCTAATCTGGGGACCACATAGCAGAGAATGTACCTCAACCTGCATTTTGCCTTCTATCTTCGCACATCTACTTTTAGACAGACTCTATTTAATTGGCTGGAAACATAATTTCTATCACAGAATATATCTAAGGTGAGAGGCCCAGCCTTTGTGTCAAAGAGGAACTTGCTAACCTACCCAGAAGCAGCTAGTTATCCTAGATTAAATTCATGGACTAATCTGGATATGATGATATTAGTGGTAAACACTTACGTATCACTACTATGTTCCAAACACTTATCTAAGAACTTTGTATATTAGCTCACCTACCGTATTATTACCTCCAGAGAGGTTAAGTAACCTACTTAAGTATACACAGTAAGTAGCAGAGGGAGTGAGAATTCAAACCCAGGCGTCAGGCTCCAGAGTCTGCCTCTCAGCACTGATGGCTGCAGGGCAGAACTTCATCTCACAGTTACAGGTGTGGTTACCAGGCATTTCACTTGCATTCTCTCCCCTTCGGCTGTCCAGTTTCTGGAGTCTAGATGAGGAAATGAGATTTTGAAAGACTTGTGTTTAAACCACCTCTTTGGCTCAAGCATTTGTTGTATACCAATAGCACTTTTGTCCTTGGTTAGACTGAGATTGAAAAAGAAGGAAAAAAATTAAGACACATTCTGCCTCAGAGATGCTTGTTTTAGAGAAGGCGGGTTTCCACATTGGAGTACACATCTGTATATTGTGATGTGTGCTTCCAGTTCTCATTGGTAGGGGTGTACAAAGTTTGGACACCTCTGAATGGAGAGAGTAGACCCAGTGTTTTTCAGTCTTTTTTATCTCATGGCACACTCGAACCTATAGTTAAAGTTCCGGGGCACACTTAAATTATGTTGCTCAAAAAAAAAAAAAAGAAAGAAAGAAAGAAAGAAAGGATTCTGGGAGGCCTAGGTGGTAGATTGCTTGAGCTCAGGAGTTTGAGACCAGCCTGAGCAAGAGCCAGACCTTGTCTTTAAAAATAAGTAGCACTGTGGCAAGTACCTATAAGCAAATCTCTTGAGCCCAAGAGTTTGAGGTTGCTGTAAGCTATGACACCACAGGTGACAAAGTGAGACTGTCTCAAAAAAAAAAAAA